AGATTGAGGGCACAAGGAGAAGGGGACAACAGAGGACGAGATGGTTGGACAGTGTTCTCGAAGCTACCAACATGAGTTTGACCAAACTGCGGGAGGCAGTGGAAGACAGGAGTGCCTGGCATACTATGGTCCATGGGGCCATGAAGAGTCGGACACGACTAAACGACTAAAAAACAACAACAACAATACATATATGCAATTATATTATGGAGCTGGACAGTCTCCTCCAACCCCCACTGTCGGTATGTTTATAAAGCATGCTTTGGGGCAAGTGAGGTCTTGCTCCACCTACTATTGACCTCCCAGCCTTCCCCCTTGCCAGTCCCAATGGGGATCGGCCTCTACTGGGTGAGCAGCCCATTGCCAGCCAAACTAGGATAGAACTTCAGGCCAAAGCATTTCAGCAGCATCTGTTCACACCATCGGTAAATGGCAGAAGTGTTGAGTCATCAAGTGATGTGGCATGAATGTGTGAACTGTGCTTTGAACAGTGGGAGAAGTTAAGTATCATTGGCCAGGTGTAGAATAACAAATAAAAGGGCCTGTACTAGAGGAGAGGTGTGGGAGAAGAGTAATCTGCTCATTGTTTTCTCTCTCCCACCCCATGTGTATTTCCTCCTAGGTTCTTCAGTTTGGCCAAAGTTACTCCCTTCATTTCTCCTCTTCTGGGTGCCAGAAGAAACCAGATGCAATGTAGGAACCCGTGAAGCAACGAGATGGGTTTAATTTTCGAGGGAAAGCTGCAATTAGGCAAAGAGTGCAAAGTCAATATGAGTAGTGCATGAGCGAGAGCGCGCAAGCGAGAGACCAGGGAAGGGAAATGATCTTTGTCCTTTGGGCAGCTTTCCGCCCCCTCATAGCCGCGTCGCCAAGTCAACCAGTCCCAGCTGGGAAGGAGCAGATTACTCATCTCCAGGGGTCAACCTCTTTCAGGCTACCAAACTAGCCCTGGGCTAATCAATGGTTCTCAATCTAGATGCACCACCACATCCATTATACAATGAGCTCATTCACAGATCCTACAGCACATGGATGGTGGTGGGTGGTGGGGGAGAAGTAACCTATCGGTCAAATCTTTACCCTGTTGTGCATTTTCTCTCTCTCTCTCTCTCTCTCTCTCTCTCTCTCTCTGCCAGGTGGCTTTTTCACCTGAGAAAGAACACACACCTCATAGATACCTGTGCAAAGATAGCACCTGGACAGAGAGATTTGTGCACAATAAATAGTGGCACATTTGTGTGTACTCAGACATAGGCAAGGGTCCATGAGATGGGTCTGAGTAGGCACAAATGTGCCACTATTTCTTGCACATCTCCCTGTCCAGGTGATGATACCTTTACATGTTGATATGTAGCAGAGCAGCAGTTTACAGTCGATTCACCTTGCACACAGCATCAGGCTGTGAGAAAGCTCCTTTCCAGTGGTGATGGTGTATATGGGGAAAGGGAAAGTTGGAAGGTTCCCTGTTGTGTTCTGCAGTTCCCCTGAGTGCATTGCACAGAGGAAGCATGCCAGTGCCACCACTGCTATGGGCATGAAAACACAGGCGCGAAACCACTACATATTTTTCAGATGTTACTTTCCCCAGGTACTGTGGCTTTGAGCAAAGCCTTTCTATGCCCGGCACGTAGGGTGAATAATACTTCCAAACCATCCCTTAGAGCAGAGTTCAGATAAGTGGAGTCTATTCTTTTCTTTCCTCTAGTGGACCACCGCCTGGAACCAGATGCCAAATAGTGGCTCAAGAGGTGGAACCAGTTGCCTACTGTGTTCCATGAGCTATGGCTATACTGGGATGGCTTACATAACAGAAGTACAAATCAATATCTAAGTTGCTGCAGATTGTTGATTCTAAGTGCCTAATTCAGGATGAGTGTGCATTTCTGCAGATGCTGTTGTTAAACAACAGGGAATTAGAAACTCTTTCTGATCTACTGCAAATCGTTCTCTGATCTACCAGTAGACACGGGTCCATCTTCTGCCCACCGCTGCTCTAGTAGAGTATGTGCATTAGGCACATGCCCCTTTAAGAAAAACGCCATCCATGCTTGTACTCAAAGTCACTACAGGGAAATTGAGGGCAAGTTAAGGAAAACAAGGTTGAGACTGAATTTGAAAATCCTCACCCTGCGCCAGGGGGAATTGAAGGCAGTCAGAGCTGGATGGGTCAGGTGGGGGTGGGACCCCAGGGACCACGGCTCTCCCCCTCCCCAAAAGTGTCCTATTCCAAGAACAAGCTCTCATTATTTGTATGGAAGCAGTAAATTAAAGAGGCTGTTTCTCAAAGCATCTTAATGTGGGGTAAATCAGCCCAAATGGGTTCCCAAAGGAAGCTTCTGCCCAGCAAAATGGATCTGGTGGGTTTTTAATCCCAAGGATATAGGCCTACTTTTACGGGAAGACTCTCAACTTCCATCTGTTTTCACACTCAGGACAAATTCTGCTGTTTTGAGTTGTTTGTTTCAAAGATTTCTATCCCACAGTGAAAATTTTCCAGACATTAAAAAACACACACCTAAAATCAGATTAAAATCTGACCTTCATTCTTGCTTTCATATTTATTGCATTGTGTTTTTATACTAAAATCCTGTAGGTAGGGCTCAAATCACCTTTTGGTTGATATATTATTATTAGCCACTCTAGTAGTAATAATACTCAGGGCACAATCTAGCCAAAAATTAAGCACATTTAGTATTTTATGAAAGATTTAACCATGTGCTTAACTTTGCCATTGAAATCCACTGGGTTTTAAAATGCTAAATATTGGCTGAATTGTCCCCTTATAATGTAAGTACCAGGCTTTTCCTTTGTTTGAATATTCAGAGTGCTGCACAAATAACACCACTGTGATCCTGTAAGCAGCCTGTAAACTAGGCCAGGGTTGTTATACCCATTTTGCAGTTGCCAGAAAGGAAGTGATGAGGCTGAGAGAAAATACTTCCTTTTCAGGCAGCATACAGCCCAGTCCTATGCACAATACAGAGGTTACCCCCCTCAGTAACTATGCATATGTTTGCAGAGGGGAGACTGAGCCAAGGCAGAAATCTCTACTGATACACACAAATTTATTTACTATTAAACCAATCATAAAAATAATAAATAACAATAAATAAGAGAGGTTAACCCAAGGGCAACACCTTTTTAGGCTAGAGACTGGACAGTCCGAATGACCACCCTCCTCCAAAATAATATAATAAATGAAATCAATTTTGGATCATTTTACAAACAGATAATTTGCTTGCCTTTAATGTTATCCAAGAGGACAGCAAGCTGCTGTATATAGCAACAACAACAATAAATATGCAAATATTTGTTAAGCATGTAAGCAAGGAATTGGAGGAGGCCTGGGAGCATGAAGAGTTTTAGGAAGTGTTTCTTTTCTGTTTGCACGCTGAGCCTCCTTGCTGCAGGAACTGAGAAAGTTGATAAGCGACTGGTGGCCTTTTCTAATCTCTGGCTGATAGAATTCACCCAGGTCGACAGGTTTCCCAGGTTGGAGGTTTAAAAAATCCAACAATCCTGGACACTTGTTGATTGAGCTTAAACAAACGTGCGGGAAAGCGGGGCCTGGCCACCTGCCCTGTTCTCCACGACGTGGAGGACGGTCCCCCACACCTTTAAGCCCTCCCTCCCTCCCTCCCTCCCCAAACACTCTCCCAGGTGCTTTCTTGACCACACAGCAGGCGAGCTGTTAAAGGCCAGCCCTTCGAAACGGCTCCACTGGACTCTGCCCAGCGCAGTGTGTGGACTCGTCAGCTTGCAACGCAAAAGGCGTCCGGGAAGCACTCAGCACACAGCTTCAACGGGATGTGGTGTACGCAATAAGTGATGTGGCCGTGGCAAGAGACAACGGCCCTTTTTCTTTCACTCATATACCCACGCAAGCCAGGATGGTAGATCCGGATTCGTTTCCATTTGTAACCCGCTCTGGAATTGCATTTGCAATGAAGAGAGGGTGAGAAAGGTTTTTAACATAATTTATATTTAAATAAAAATAAAAAAGTCAGGAAAACATGGAGCCTGGATTTCTGCAATCCAGTCAATTCAATACCACTTACGGTCATCTTCCAGCCAAAGCAGCGTAGAGCCACGCTGCACTTTGCGCCCCGGCAACCGGCACAGGAAATTCGTTTTAAACTAGGAAGCAGCAGTAACTTGTTGGGCACAGAAAACGGCCCGCGGATCGGGCGGAGGAGAAAAGGCTTGGCTGCATAAGTGATACTCGCGCGCGCACACCTATATATTCAGGCTTTCTTTCTTTCTTTCTTTCTTTGTCTCTCTCTCTCTCTCTCTCTCTCTCTCTCTCTCTCTCTCTCTCTCTCTTTCTTTCTTAAAGAGGAAGTTCGTAACTACCTGAAAGGTTCTGGTGCAGTGTTGTCTGGGCAGGACTCTAGGGGCAAAAGTACAGCGCTCCACTCCGCAGAATAAGAAAGAGGCGCCCCCCACAACTGAGCAAAGCTGGCTTGCCACATTTTGAAATTAATGAATACACCCCATCTAAAGAGCGCCCGCGCTATGAAGACTATGAAATTCAGAGACTAAAACTCATGCCTCCGATCTGAAACATTCCTGTTTCTAATCCAAAATATGGTTTTAGCTATCCAGGAAGGAAAGCTCTTTGTACATGTTCAAGGACACTCTTGGTTCAGTTACTGTTTCCATTTTTCCGGGGGGCCCGGCTGCTGTTCCAAGCCAGCTGCAATTATAGCACAACCAGGAGGTGAATGTCTTGCGAATACAGTGAAGTTTATTGGGGAGGGGACGTTGCTGTTGCTGTTACTACAATTGCTACTATCACCACGTTGCGCGCACACTCACACACCTCAAGAAAGTGAAACTCCCATGGTCTAAGCTTCAGCAAGCGCGGATTCTTATTGGGAAGGCTCCGCCCAATGGGGGCAGCCAGGCGGGCTCACGCGCCTGCCGGAGAGCCAATGGGAAAGCTCCCCGAGATGTCCTGGTCCTCGGGGCTCATCAGCCGCGGGCGCAGGTGAGTCGCACCTGTCAAAGGCTTCGCAGCGCAGCCCTGGCCTGTGCGCGGCTCGCCCCGGTGGCTCCTCCAGCCATGAACAGCGAGGACCAGTTTTACGCCTCCAGCCAGCTCTTCAAGGAGCCGTGCGCCTTTCAGAGATCCCAGCCGCAGGATTATAGCCAGAGCCCCCCCGCGTGCCTGTACATGGGTAGGCAGCCCCAACCGCAGCAGCAGCAGCAGCAGCCCCCGTACCCGAGTGTTTTGGGGGCCTTGGAGCAAGGCAGCCCGCCGGACATTTCCCCCTACGAGGTGCCCCCCATCACCGACGACCCAGGCATTTCACATCTCCATCACCACCCTCACCACCAGCACCACCACTCTCAACTGCCTCACTCGCACCAGGAAGCGCTCACCTTTGCAGATGGGGCGGACTCTGGGGTGCTAGGAGAGCCCAGAGTGCACTTGCCATTCCCCTGGATGAAATCCACCAAATCCCACGCCTGGAAGGGACAGTGGGCTGGCACGGGTAAGACGCCTTCCCCTCTCTTCTTCTGGCCTCTCTCCTTCTCTCTCGGTCCATGCTGAAGCAAGACGCGGCGTCTCGGTCGGGGTTATGCTTTCAACGTGGGCACGGCTCTATGCCTGACTGCCAAGCCGGAGAAATGGGCTTCTTCCAGTCTCTCTTGGGCAAGGGTGGGGGCGAAGGATTGTGATAACGACGGCCAGCACCACCTTTGAAATAACTTGATCCCATAAATGCATTCGCAACACAACCCTATAGGGTGGTCAGGCGGGAAAGAAAGCCCCATTTGGCTTATGGGGCTTCTTCCAAAGGGGAGCGTGCAAAAGACTGCAATCACACTTGGTAAAGAGGTGCCACTGAAATAAAATGTGCGTTTTATTGTGTTTTTAAGTGCTGGAAGCCGCCCAGAGTGGCTGGGGAATTAATAATAATAATAGCCAATAATAATAATAACCAAGCTGAGGGTTCTACATCCCTCCCCATGGCAGGCAGGAAACATTTCCTCTTCTGGTTGTTAAATCTTCAGAGAGTCTTGGGACACCCTAAGGACTAACAACAAACTTTCACAATAAATCTGTGAGTCTTGAAGGTGCCACAAGAATTTTGGGAGTTACTGCTGCACATCAAACATATAAAACACATGGCTTCCCTCACAGAACCCTGAAAACTCTAGGCTGTTAAGAGTGCTGGGAATTGTAGCTCTGTAGATAAACTACAGTTCCCAGGATTGTGACTGTGTGTGCTTTAAAAGCACGGTGATTACTCAGCCTTAATGCAGCAATGCTTCTGGATGTTGACGGTCTTCCATTTCCTGACTGGAACTGGGGGTCACTTTAATGACAACAGACCCAGTCTTGGGAATCCAGGGAGAGATTTAGATTTGTACAGCCTCTATCAATCTGTATGTGATCTTCTTCTTCTTCTTCATGCGTTTTCATTTCAGTATATTTTGCCTATGGCCAGCCTTTAAAGAAACCATTATGCTGGATCCCTGGTTGCACTTTTCTGATGTAATTAGGAAGCAACCAAGAAAGGGAGAGAACTAAGACTACAATCCTGTATTATATGTTTACCTGGAAACAGGGCCGGCCTACACATGAGGCAAGGTGAGGCAACCGCCTCAGGCGGCAGGATCCACAGGGCAGCAGGTCCCAATGTCAACCTTTCTTCCCCACTTGTTCCTGATGTAGATCTTCCCTTGCCTCTTCTTCCCTGGTGTGAAAGGAGGCGCCATTTTGGGGTCCATCTCAGATGCCAAAATGTCTTGGGCCAGCCCTGTCTGGGAAACAGTTTTGTTGGATTCAAATGTGCTTCCTTTTGAGCAGGCAATTATATATAGGATTAAAGGAATCCCAGACTCAAGTAGAGTATCATTAAGATTAAGGCCACTTGTAAAAGAACAGCAAAGGTGCCCCATTAACCTGGTCCTGCTACAATAGAAAATCTTACTACAGCGTGTGATGCCTTAGAACTACACAGCAGTCTACCAACAATAATTTATTAGGCAATTAATATTGGGGCAAAAAAATATTTATGCAATGCCATAATCCTACACAGCAAAGAAGGCAAACACTGAATCAGCTGATCAGTTGAGAGTAAGAACTTAAAGCTGACCTTATCCAAACCGATGCTAGGTTTGCTACTGTTTTGAAAACCAACATATTTGGGAGCTAAAAGTTAGATCCAAAGATGCGAGACACCTCGCACTATGACCACTGTGCGTCAAATTCAGCTCCCTTCACTTGCAGTCCGCAAAAGTGTCTCCCCAGACTAGCTCTTCAAAAGTATTCGCCCTTCATGAGACAGTTTCTCGTTTTTGCTCACAGAGCTCCTGGAAAAAGTGGCAAGAATATGTCTTATTATTAAGACATATTATTAAGTCCGTGAAACTTACTTTTGTCTTATTATTACGACATACTTGGCGGGGGTTTTGCCTCAGTCTTAATCAAGTCCTTACTGGTTCTTGGGAACTGAGTACAGCATTTCAGCAAAATTTAAAATGGATTCGGTTTTTTATTTTATGTTCAGATTCTCTTGGGGCAGGTGGAGAAATCAGTAATCTTACTCCACTTTAACCCCGCTAAGACATCCACGCACTATGTCTGGATTTAAAGTAGTCTAGTAATCATTTTAGAAAACTTGTTTTGATAAACATTTCTACGTGTTCTCCAAAAAAGAGAGAAAGAAGAAATGTAAAGGGGAAATTATTTTCCATTTAAATAATTTCGATTCCAAATGCCTTGGTTTCACTGACTTTGGGCAGGTCGGAGATCTTGCATTTTTATGCAGGAGGGGGTTTCCTGGCCCGGCGTTTGCTCCAGTTATAACAGGATCTAAACCAGAGCGTGCCTGCTACTTCCCTCCACTTAGCCTAGTTACCTTCACGCGGAGCAAAGCTACCTCATATGGAAACAGAGAATTGGGAGCGATAAATTGCCAGAAACCATTTCCATAAAGATTTGCAAGCGGAACCCTGGAAAGGCAATCCACCGAACCGTTCAGCTGTTGCCTCTTGACTTAAGCCAGGTGGAAACTGATTCTGCACTCCAGTAGTAAGCGAGCCCCACTGACGTCCGTGGAACTTTTGCATTAATACGCTGAGGGTTAGACCCTTGTTGATGGCGAAATTGTTTCCTTCACAGTGTAATCCTCTGCACCTTTAGTCGGAGGTATTAGTCTGGCGCCTATTCCCAGGAAAGTGCAAATAGAGATTGCAGTTTAAACCGATTTATTCTCAGTGTCGCCGACAGGACCGAACCGGATTTAGACGGTTTGTTGTGGACGGGGCCTTATACCGAAACCGATGAGAGGGGATGCCAGCAATTTATGCGTATCGATATGGAACTAAATCATATTGATTTTTACAGGGATTGGTATCATTAGCACATTTACTAGGGATTAAGCTCCGTTGAACACAATGGGCCTTGCTTCCTAGCTGTCAGGCGTAACCTTGCGCTGTTAATTTTGGCGATCAGTCTTAACTGGCTTCAGGATCGGGCTCCAGAGCCCCAGCTGGTTCGCGCTGCCCAAGGACTCCTGAAGCGCAACTTGCTCTGCGTGAAGTGCGTAGGGCCCGCCTGCCCCATTGCACCCTAACAAATGACGCTTTTTGGGCACCAGTTCTACGCACGCGTTTTGGAACAGATTCAGCATAGTTTAAAGCTCCAATCCTCTATTCAGTGACTTCCACTGAATCCAGTGGGACTTATTTCCAATGTCCATGATCGATCTTCATACGGAATGTACTTCCAAAGGCGATTAGAAGAGATTCAGGAGTCACACTCTGAATCTAAACTTATTGATTTGAAAGTAAGGTCCAGTTGTTTCCACGGAACTCTTAACAATAAAATGTGGTACAAAAGAAATGTCCCCGCCCGCTGTAAAGCATGTCAGTATTTTAGTATGATACAAAAAAACACACCCGTGCGTCTATATTTAAAGTGTACACGTTGATAGGAATCCAGAAAGGGAGATCTGACAGCGGGAAGGCGCCTTCCTTAGACAACCTATGGATCCAGGTGACCACCCTTCATCTTACCTCAGAGATGCCCTGGCTGCTTTTGATGTGGAGGGATCAGTCCCATCCGCAGCTTTGAATTGTGTCTAGCTGGGTTATCTTGAGCCGTACGCACACTGAATAAATAATAAATAATATAAATAATATATAATATATATTCTGGCACCTCGCTCTTAAACGAGTTTATTTGGGAAAGAGCCCACGGCTTCTAGTGGAAATCACAGGCGTTCTTAGTCTTTTCTCATTAGAAGAGATCCCTGCGCCATTGCCATTAACTACCTACAACGATTAAGGCATAAGCCATAAGAATCCCCTTACTTTGAAATAAATATCATTTAAAACTATGAGGTCCCCCTCTCCCATTTATATTGCGTTAGGATCTATGTAAACCCCTACAAAGTTGCAGCCCAGTACAGTACAATTAAATGGGAATGCCTGTTGACCGGCATGGGGCTTGCTTCTGAGTTAACGCATCCATAAACTCGTACATCAAATTCGATTGTAACAACTCCCTGATTCCCAAAACAAAAGTGTTGTTTTGAGCCACTATACAAGCTTCCTCTACGTCTGAGGCAATGTGTCTCTGAATGCCAGCTGCTGGGAATCGCTCCTGGGGTCTTTGCTCGCGGGCTTCCCATGGACACCTGGCTGGCACTGCGCGAACAGAGTGAGCCTCCAGTCTGATCCATCAGAGCTCTGCGGATGTTCTTACAGAATTATTGTGTGTCCTTGCTGTTGCCAACCGCCAGGCCTTGTCTACTTCTCAATTCCAGATTTTCAGAGATGCCTGAGGCGGCAGCCCTATACACACTTTCCTAGGAGTAAGCCCCCTTGAGCTCAGCTTATTTCTGAGCAAACCTGCATAGGGTCGTACTATAAGAGTCTTATGGCACAAATAGATGCTTTGTAGCGTTCTGTCCTGAGGCTCATTTTGTCAGATGCGCGCATGTATAATTTTCTCTCAGTCTCCCCACTTCTCCAAATATAATACGTTTCATATATCTAATGAAATGAACCCTCGTCAGCGAAAGCTTATGCCTCAATAATTCTGTTGTTCCTGAAGGGAACCACAAGCCTCTCTTATTACATCTCATTCTATTTCTACGATTTTTAATTCCACTCTTCGCATTGATTTCACACGGGTTTACAAATTGGAACGATGTCAATATTTACGGATCTATCCGTTTTGTAAGCTTCGAGCCTTTCTCTCTTTCGCTACCCATCCCCTCACTTTCGCTGTTTTCCAGCGACATGATCTGGTCAGTGGCCACAAGAGAAAGTCTATTTGTTGCCCCTCTTAAGAACTTTATAGGGATCCCCCTGCCCCCATGTCTGCTATCTGGTGGAACAAAGCCCTTAATGCAATATTTGCAGAAAGGCGTGACCTGGAGCGCGCAAGGCGCAGGGCCGATAACATTGTGCAGCCAGACACAGCTTGTTCCCCCAACTGCCCTTCCTTGATCACCACGGCAAAGAAAACTACAAC